ACCACCGTTGGAAATGCTATATATATCGCAACTCTTTCGATCAGACTTCACGTAATCGTATGCGTGAAAAAGTTACTGCCAGTATTATCTTTAAGGATCGCAAAGCGTCATATTCTCGCAGGTCGGTTTACAAAACATGCCTTATAGCTTTTTGATTCGGTTTTGCTGTGAGCACAGTTTACTAAAAAATTTATGAATTCTGTCTCTTGTAGCGTGGGTCACCCGTTCGTGGGAGATTATGTGCGGTTGCGGCATAACCAGCAATGGAAAAACATTTGTGTAGAGACCAACGATCAGTATGTGGTGTTTGCGGACATTATTAANGCGTAATCGTATGCGTGAAAAAGTTACTGCCAGTATTATCTTTAAGGATCGCAAAGCGTCATATTCTCGCAGGTAGGTTTACAAAACATACCTTATAGCTTTTTGATTGGGTTTTACTGTGACCACAATTTACTCAAAAATTTATGAATTCTGTCTCATGTAGCGTGGGTCACCCGTTCGTGGGAGATTATGTGCGGTTGCGGCATAACCAGCAATGGAAAAACATTTGTGTAGAGACCAACGATCAGTATGTGGTGTTTGCGGACATTATTAACAAAATTACACGTTCCAGCGGGAAGGTATTGTATATCTAGCTAAATAATATAGAAATTAAAATCGTTAAGTAAAGACATATTTTTTAAAGTATAAGTTTCATATAGTCTAAATGATGCCGATGCATCTCATTTGCTGTGGTTTCAGTGATTCCCTACTTTTGATATGTAAATATAAATTCACACATGAAGGTTTCGAATTTTCACCTGTGGCGTTTTTTCTCTATTAATTTTACTCAAGATTATAACGCGAATTTGCCTACAATGGGTCAACAGAGCTCCTTTAATCGATATTATGAATTATTCGCTGTTGACAGATTCAATTACAAAACGGTTATAAAAACTCTTTATGCTTTTATACAATGTCCCTGACAAATATACATACAATATGTATATTATGGGAACTATTAACTTAAAATATATGTAATATAGAGGAATTTTATGAAAAGAATTTTCAAGACTTTTTTATTTTTTCTAACAATCTAACTAATTAAACATACTGCCTGCTATGCATTTTTTTTTTGTAACTATAGTTTGTACCAATACTGTTGGTGTTGTCAAC